ACTGACTTGTGTGTATTTATTATTATCATTCCGTTCAAGGTTAGCAGTAAAGGTTAAGTTTAAGTTTTTTATAAATTATTTGTGACTATAATATATTTTGATTGAGGAGATGATTTGCTAATTTGAGTGACATTTTATACCTCAATGAGCGAGTATAATTTCACGCAGTTCCTAAGTGCGTGTGAAACAATACGACCAATATTATTAATTAATGTATATATAAATTAAATATAGTTTTTATCCTTTGTTTATTTAAAATTGTCGTGCTTAATTGTTATATCAAAAAAAAAATAAAGTAGCTAATGCCTGGTGTAGATAGAGATAATACAGAAACAAAACATATACAGTAGAACCCGTTTAAGATGCTCTCCAAGGGACCAGTTACAAATCGCGTCTTAAGCGGGAAATCGTATTACGCGGGAACAAAAAATTTTATTATATTTCACAATACATCCATGTTATATATATGTTACCGGAAAAGATGACAATCAGTCCGTATTGACAATGACTAGTCAATAACGATAATGCCTGATTTAGTAAGGAATTAATGTCAATACCTAGTCATTGATAACAATTCCTAATAAAAGAAGGCATTGATAATAACATTAAAAATTAATTTAATATATTTTAATACTTATTAGCTATTTAGGATAAATCATAATCTTAATCTTTATTGTTACGTGGTAAATTACTATGACACTTGGAATTATATAATCTAGTACAGCGGTACCCAAACTGTGCCCCGCGAAGCCTTTGGTGCTCCGCAATGGTTTGCCTAGGGCTCCGTTCGTAACACCACAAAAAATTTCAAAAAATGCTCGTCATTTAAAATTAATATATATTTCATGAAGACTTGAATGTTCCATAATCAGATCGATCACCGATAAAGCGGTGTTGATATTTGTTTAAATGCAGATTTATAACATTGCCTAATATAATACGGAAATGTTGATAAAACTACGAAATATCCAACATTGCCTAACCTTTCCAGTCATTGTCAACAATGACTAGGATATACTGACAATTCCTGAATTTTCATCTTTTTCCGGTAACATATACATAAATTATATTTTTTACTTTGCAGAGTGAATTATTACATTTATATTACCTATTTCAAAAAATCGTCTATCTTTCATTGTTTCAAAGTTTTGATGATTTTTTGAATACAGGAAGTTTTCAATTTTATTAAGATGATGTAAAGTTTCGTCAGCATTGTCAAAAGATGGAATTAATCTTCTTAGCTGATTAACACGATCAAGAGCATTTGTTACTATTTGTTATTATTGGTTATCGTTATTATTAGTGAGGTATTTCTTTAAATTTTATACAATGTATATGTATATACAATATATTTTTATATGAACATCATTGACAATATGATCGTATTATTCGGGAACATAGGGCGTATTATCCAGAGTAAATTACATGTTAAATGTTGTTAAAATCAAGGAACTCGTAAAAATGAGCGTATTAGCCGGGAAATCGTCTTAAGCGAGAGCGTCTTAAACGGGTTCTACTGTATTTATACTAAGTTGGGTTAAAATTTAATAAAAAAATGTATTAAAATTAAAACATTTTATAAAAATTTATTTCCAGCTCAAGAGTTTTTATTGCTATATAATAACGTCTTTCGTTTATATATTGCAAGTATACATTTTATAAAGATTTTAAGCAAAATAAAACTTAAATAAAAATAAATTCTTTAATTTTAAAAATTTAAATCAAACACACACGAGTCACGTATATCAACAGTACCATATTAATAACAGACCAATTGATACCAAATGGTAGAAAACTAATGTATAATTACAATAAATATATAAATATATTTTTATAAGTTCAATATGCCCAATATAATATTTACCGACACCGCTTTGTAAACACACTACTTTGTTTTTAAAAATATGAAAAATTTATTTTTCGTTTCTGTGTTGACCTGGCATAATAGTGGTTTTTTGTAATTTCTTTAGTCTTAATTATGCTGTACCTATGAAACAATACGAATGGTTCAAAAATATCGTTAAAACAAAATTTACTGTCCATCATAAGCGTGTGCAGACATAACTAGCAGGGTAGTCAAACATAACACATTATCATTTAATATTAACAAAAAATTTGCATTCGTAACTTCATTTAACTTAAAAACTATATTTCTCCAGTATTCTTACATTTTTTTAACGTTAACTAATGTTTCGAAGTGGTTGAAAATAATATATTTATTTATTATTGTGATCATATTGAATATTTTGGTGAGGGTGGAAAGTTTCACAGAATAGTCAAGTACCTGACTACCCCGTGTGCACGCTTATGCTGTCCATATACATAAATTGATTTCATTTTAGTTTAGTACTCATAATATATATATACATATATATATATATATATTCTTTAATAAGATACTATGAAAAGTTAAATAATATTTTATTATTTTATTTTCATCGATGAACACAATAAAATAGATTAAATTAGATATTATTGTTCAAATATACTAAGCAACTTTTGATTCTATATTTTTATTTATAACTATTATTTATTAGTATATTATTGATTTCATACGTATAATAAAATAAAAGTATTATACCAAGCCTACAAATTTCATACTGATATTATTATAAGTGCAGGTCCGTAATTCAATTTAGCTATATGATTTGCATGCCAATTTAAAATACACTATTTAAATATACTTTATGTTTTTATTAAGTTTACTACTATTTAGTATGTAACATTTGTTTATGATTATAATGTAAATATAAAATTTGATAAAAAAAAATCTGTCATTTATTCAGTTACAACATATTACCACGATAGATAATAAAAATAGAAGTGTTTAAAATAATAAATTTTCTTTACAGAACTCTATTATATAATATTTAATAAACTTTAGAACACTGAAATTATAATATAATAATTACAATTTAATTTCTTACAAACGTAAAATAACGAATGGCAGAAAAATAATTCATGTTATCTGATATCTAATTTAATACTCATATACTACTCGTATTTTACAAGTAATAACCAAAGTTACGTACGGGTCTCCGGGAAAATATAAATTTGATTTGCAATAATACACACTTAGAATGTATTTCAATTATTAAATTTATCAGATTGGCAATTGGTCAATTTTCGTTTCCGGTTGCACCTACATCGAAGCAACAACTTTCGACTGACCGAGAGAACCTTTTTTTTTTTATAGTCATGACATATATCAATGATTTGTGAAGTGTGATGCGTCACAATAAAACAACATTAAGCTTACGACTTGATGCGTTTCATGACAATTAGTTCGAAAAACCTGTTGGGTTTCGTTTTATTTTTAAACGTTTCATGTTTGCAAACCTCCCCGTCGAATGCGGTCGCACTCGTACAACTGTGCCACAACACCTGTTACGAAGTCGTTGTATAATATCGTTACGGCTGGGAGTTATCTAATAGAATATCGCTACCGCCGGCGAAATATAGAAATAAGAAACTGCTCGTTCAAAGAGTTTAAATTAAAACGTATGATTTAGTATAGGTATGTTTAATTACAGCGCGCGACACGAATCCATAATATACTGGTACGGCGGGTCGGTGCGGCGGTGTAGACCTACCGGATGTGAGTTATAAAATAGTTACACCGTTTTGATAGTGTACGACGATATAATGATAAACATAGTGACGCAGGTCACTATGTTGTGGCGTCTGTTCGTAAAATATTCGCTGTATACCTCGCATTAACTGAACATTGCATCCGGCCCTAGACGGTTTGGCTCGAAATTTAACTTTTTTCGAATTGTATATGTTTTGTATGTATAAAGAGTTGAAATGTGCCTCATCTATTTTGTAAAAATCGTTCTTTTCGCAACACGTTCGCTTCATACAATACATTCGATCCGCGAATACCGCGATATTATTAGCACTTAAATAAATTAAATAATAAAAATAATAAAATAAATTCAAATAACGAAAATAATTATTTTACTGTTATGTTACTAGATGTATACATTCGTAATCACGCCTTATGATCTTAAACGTTTTATATTAATAGTAATGTAATTTAAGTAAAAACCTGCTCTCAGTGTTATGAGTTTGTGACTTTGAACTTGATATCGGCCCATAATACTTAGTACATAATATCGCATCTCCGTGGTCAACAACACATACCATCTCGTGATATTCGTAAACAATGCACGGTATAATATAATGTATATATGTTATACGAGTATTTAAACAATGATTTAACCAGGAAACATTGAAACGTCATAACTGCTTGAATTCACAACATTCTGTACAAATGATCTTAATGTATATGTCGTAGGTATATAGTCAAATCAAATAAAGTTAAATGCCTAGTCATTTAATTAAATTACTAGGAATATGATTTGATTAAATTCCTATTTCATGTCAGGCAAATAATAAAAAAACATTTTGTATTGTTTTAAAAATTTTAATTTATTTTCTATCAGTTATTTATTGCTATTTTATTCATAAAAAAGCAATATATTATTTATTAAATGTAAAACATGTTGGTATATGAAATAATATGTATAATTTCATGTTCATTATTACTATTGTTTTAAAAATGAAATCATAAATATATACAGGTAATAACTAATTAGATATGATAGACATAGATGATAGTACGAGTATATTGTGTACTCTATAGTCAGTATGATTTGACTATATGCCTAAGACATATATACGTTTCGCTGTCACTCGAAACTCGACTTAATTTTACGCGTTTGCTTTCTATAATATTGATCGGGTATTTTCTGTTCAAGTTTTTAAATACCAGGTAGAAAGACTTAAATTATAAGAACTAGGATATTGGGTTTTGTTTTTACTAAAAATTCCAAGAAAAACATATGTATGATTGTAACTTGATATATTTTTTAAAATAATAATCAACTTGAACAATAATAATTTTCAAATAAAACTGCGGTGACATATAGTAAAATAATTATTTGATGTCAAAAAAAACTTGAACACAAACATTCGAGTGAACAAGTTGTACATTGTTTTTTTTTTTTTTTTTTTTTATCAATTTCCGCAGTAATTTTTAAGTTCTGCATTATTACCCACCTACGCACAGCATGGTCGTAAATGTCTGCAGTGATTTTTTTTTGTACTCGTTGTCACCGCGCGCACGTACGAGTACTACGGTGTAATATTTCCAGTCGTATTACCTATTATAAGTGTATTGTAATATTTACAAATGTAGTTCGCAAGACTATGTACTATATAACCGAAGAAAATTATTATTATTTACAAAAAAAAACCAAAACGAAAATCGATACAGACAGTAAACAAATGCAGAATAAACGGGTGTATTTACATTGCACTACAGCGAATCACTGCGTCGTAGTGCTGCGTCGTGCGGGGGCGGTAATCGACGCACATTCGACGGGTACGCGCACCACGTCAACACGTTACAGGTGCCTTACATACTAGTCGATGAATGTTTCGTACGGAAAAAGGATTGTTAGGAATGCAGTAGGCGCTTGTAGATTATTAGCTCGGTCAGTGATGGCGCTGACCGTGCACGCCGAAGTCGAAGTCCGGCTTCTTGCGGTCCACCACCGCGTTAAAGCCGCTGTGCTTGTCCGCCTTGTACTTGACCGTGCGCACGGTGCCGTCCGGCTCGACCAACGTGTAGAACCCGGTGACAACGTCGCCGGTCCTCGTCTCGTGTTGGCTCTTCACGTCGCCCGTGTGCGGGTCGTGCACGTCGTAATGGAACGAATAGTGCACCGGCTCGTGTTGGTCCTGCGAGTGCTCGTCGTCATGTTCGCCGCCGCCGTGCACGAGGTATTGGTCCTGCGCCACCGGTTCGTGCTGCTGCTGCTGCGCTTGATGGTAGCCACTGCCGCCGTCGTACGACGAAGTCTCCTGGGCGAACGACGAAACGTAGTCGGTGCCGCCGTACGGCAAACATTGAGACCGCGTGACCATCAAACCGAGCGCAGCGCACAACTGCAGCAGTAGAACGCAATACGGACATATTTTAGAGAATTATTCTGCAGGAACCCGTCCCCCGTCCCCCCTTCACCAAAACACGTGTACTTATCGACCTTAGGGTTTTAAGTTTTTACGTGTAGATCCGTTTAAATATATTATATTTACATATATATTATCAATTTATTTTGAAATATGTACCTCGGTTCCAAAGACTCGTTAGGATCTATAATAATTTAGATTTGATGTAAAGCTTTAAGGGTTCTGGGATTTATCACGTGACTTCAAGCCAAAAACGAAAAACCCGATAAGAAATTTAATATTGATGTGATCTTGTTCGAATAATTTTGGGGTACGGTTCAATAATAGGATTAGAATATAGTAGAATTAATAATAATGAGATATACATACTTCGAACTGTGCTTTGGAAAGAGTCTACTGCACATTTTTTAGATTAACTCGTTTTATCCTGAATACTTCATATTTAGCCCGTTATTACCTTCCAGTAACGAATCATCTGAATTCAGTACATCGTTGGCTGGTCGCTTACAGAAATTAACTATACATTCTTAAAAAAGTCGAATATATCTAAACAACATAAAATCGTAAACTTTTATGGCTTTTTATTTCTAATTAGCTTTAAAGTTCCTTAATACTCTCTCTATCAATTATTGTCCTTCTTATCTTTATTTTAAAAATAATTATATGTAAAACGATTCTACGGAATTTTCCTCATCAACTCTTTATATAACACTTTTTCATACACCTTAAAACAATTATGATATTAATTTATTTTATTTTCTCATCACATTTCTTAAAAAATATTATAATATTTATATTTTACGTTGCACCGTAAACGGAATGCTATCTAGCGATTAGGTGTACCAAAAGATCATTGCGTATGTGATTGAACAGGATAATAATAGTGTTGTATCGTTGTTGGACATTTGGTTTGCGGGGAAGATAATTGGTGCATGGACGTGAGAACAGAAAGAATATTTCAAAAACTGTTGCACGTGTTTGCGAATATCACGAAATAATTTTGACGATTTATCAGATTTAAAAATAACTAGCATAAAAATGGTTTTAGAAAGTTCTTCACAAAATGAGCATTTATTTTTATACAGTAAAGTACCCTCAGTATTACTGTCTACCGAGGTCGATATCGAAAAAATTGTGTTGATATTCGAAAACGAAAATACGCGTTAATAATGTTCGTTAGACTTATTAAATGGATAAGATTAACATAAAATCACTTACTACTATAACTGCGGAGGAACCGTTCATCGTGGCGTATTTCTTCGGCGGTTGAACAGCATTGGATGCCAGACATGCCCGAGTTTTTCTTTTTAAACCAAAAATACACCGGAAGACTTATTGTTCGGTGAAAATACGAAATTACATAAAGTTGTAACATAATAGTAATAAAAATAACGAATAATAGCTAATTTATGTTTATACAAGAGTTATATGTGTATCGACATGGTACTGTGATCGTTTTAAGTATACGTGCTACACGCGTATGGTTTAATTACAGCCATTCCTAAGTGTGATAGGGACCTGCGTAACGCTCTCATCTCGCACCACAAGATTTTATCATCGTCGTTACTATTATAATGTGTACCTACGTTATATTATTCACTGAGTAAACAAACTGTAATAAAATTTGAAAACGCACAGTCGAATCGTATTATTCGATCTTATCAAAGTATCGTGATTTCTTTGTTTGTTTCTATTCATTATTTTTATCTGGGTCTTGTCTTGTGTTTTTTTAATTTTTTTATTACATTTATTATTTCTAATATTATTATTACTGTTGTTGTCTTCGTGTGTCAATCCAGGAATATCACAGGCTATAAAACCTTAACGACTGAGAAAACGACTTTTCATTTCAAGTCTAAACTTTTTGTGCACTGTTTTTGTTCTGTTCTATTTCTATTCCTAGTTTACGGTATGATTGCATTATTTTTTGTCTATTGAAACATTGCTACCCTCGTATGTGGTCAACAGCAAAAAATGTTCTATGTACCGTATCGTATATAAAATATAACTTATTTAAATTTTCTTAACCCAGTCGTTTTCTTTAAATCATCTGAAACATTACATTTAACGTATGAGATCGTATGTCTTAATATGAATAATTTAATTATATTATTAAATAAAAATTAGTTGTCGTTACGTCGCGCCGCTTAATACGTTTATTTCCTCAAATTATACTTATTGATGGATTCAACTGCAACATATATGAGGATAAGTACTTATAAATGTTAACGTTTATATGCCATGCGTAACTATAATAATACTTATATATCTATTTTATATGTTAAAATTATTTCTAACTAAGATGAAGTACTCTAAGTGAAATATTTGGAAAATAACGTTATTTTATAAAATACAGAAACTGTATCTCGCAATACTTATTTACAAACACTATACCAAAACTAAATATTACAAAAGCGTAAACACTTATTTCGCATTACAATATAAGTTTATGCCGCATTGCAATTATATTATTATATATAGTTTATTAATTATAATAATTTTTTGAATATCTTTCTAGGTTATGGTCAACGTAATGTGACATTTGTGTTTCTACTTATGTAAATTAATTAATGCACTTTGTATATGACGAGTTAAATACATTAATATGTACACTATATATATGTTGGATGTAATAAATTATTGTACGAAGATATCAATGATTCCATTGAGTTGAATTTTATATGCGTATGTGTAGTATATGTATTTTTTTACATGTTTTATACAATCAAAAAAACGAACTAATTTAGATGTGTTTCGTCTGCCAAGATCGTATTTCGAGGAAATCAACTTTTTATTATGCATTTTATTCAATGTTCGTGCTTGTCATTTTTTAAAACATTGATGTTCTACATACAAAAATATAATAAAATTATAACATACATTTATTTCATCATACGGATAATATATACAACATATCTAAGTGTTTTTTTCTTACCTAAAAAAAAAAATGCATATACATATGGGGAAATACCACTTTAAAATATATGATAAACGATATAAGTTTTATTTTTATTTCAACAAAATATTTATATTGTATAGAAAGCATGTATTTTAAGTATGAAATAACTGGCTGAGTTTTATATTTCATTATTTCTAACTCACACTAATAGTTTGTTTAGATATTCATGATATGCCATTATTCTTGTTGTATGTTATTTGTTTTTGTTATTTATTAGTATTTTATTCCATCAAAACGTATGGCCAAATAAACATTGACATCATTTTTTTGGATACTAGTAGGTTTGTGAATCATTTTTAAATAAATAATACTTAATTATCATAGAATAATGTTATGTAAAAAAAAAAAAAAAGAAACTTTGCCAAACGGTACGGTATACAATAAATACGGTATGTAACAATAATTTTCCAAAAACGAATATGTGACCGTGAGTTCTCCATGAGAACATTTTATTCATAGTATTTCATGTAATATAATGATTAATGAATACCTATATAGTCTGTTGCTGTACACAACGATGGTTTTTGTAAACTGGACACAAATCGGATATTATTGGAGTATATTGTGCGATGCGTTTCTTGAAATAACCGATTTGTAAATCGAGCACGTAGGTTTAAGTTGTGATGATGAAATGTTGTCAAAATATATTTTGTAAGAAGCCAACGGAATAGTTTACACATGTTGTATATCGGTACTTTGTGTGTACAATCGAAATGACGATTAGTCATATTATTCTACGTAACACGGTTTTAATTGATACTACCTTTAACGATGTATGACCATCGATATCCCTTTGTTATAAACATGTGATTCATGCATATATTATATTAAATCGATACTTAATCTGATTCTGATTGAAAATAATTACACGTCTACAACAGCTGAACTGTTCCTAATGTAGTCGTTCCGAGGCCTTTTTAGACATAATAAAATAATTTTTTTCAGATCGAATGCTCGTGTTCCAGCGTATGTTATTATAGTGTTATTGAAACAATATCTTCCATTATTCAAAATATGATACATGATAATCGTATCATGTATAATGTATAAACATACGTACAATATACTTATATTTATTTACAAGACATTTAGTTTTCTCAAATTTTAATTGCACTAAATGTGATGAAATATTTTAGATTAAAACAAATAAAAAAGAAAAAAGTATTTTCTTAATCAGTTATTGTAATTGCTTTTTCTTTGTGTAAAATATTCGACGAGTTTATGGTATCAAAAATTATGTATTAAAGTTGCTTACGAAGGATTTAGCGTCCTCGTCATTATTTGCAGGTTCACCTCCTTAGGTTTAGAGTAACACGATAAAAAGTTTTTCTCCTATAAGAAATATGTATGTTTTTATAAAATGATACTATCATCTATCACACTCGTTATCATATTTTTATGATTTATACGATGCATTATCCTCGTATTGAAATGTTCGGACAAACGTATTGCTTCGGCGCGTCATATTCAAATTAAAATAATCGTATTTGGATTCATGCAATGAAATTCGTCGCAGATGTTTTCTAGAAGTAAACTTTGATCACCGTTCAATGCGATTATAGCCATGTGTGCTGATTTCAATGCTTTCAATCTTTGCATACGCGATATCATACCGTAACAGTATTGCGTTTTAGCCTGTCGAGCAAATCGTTGGCGCGTGTTTTAAGCTCGCAAGACCCATGTAGAAATGCATGTATTTTATACGGGACGCGAAAACGGAACAACCGGTCGGCGCTGCTGCGACTATCGCGCATAATAATAATAATGAATAATGAAATGTAATAATAATAATAATAATAATAATAATAATAGTGTATACAATTACGGACGATAGCGTTTCTAAACCGTCTGGACGAATTCCACTTTGGCAAACGTTATAATTGTATTTAATTTTTTTTTTTTTCCAATCGAAATCTTATTGTACTATTGTTACGGCATACTTAACCGCAGTGCAGTCAGCCAACGTCACAAACCATAATAATGGTAATGGTGGTGATGGTGATGGTGCTACATCGTTATACAGTGCGAGACATTATATTATTATTATTTGTTGTGCGCAAAAACGCACACGTGCACTATTCGTATACGGCAGTTACGCGCGTACGTGATACACATAAAACCCTGGGGGGCGTTTTCTATTTCATAGTTTCGCAACTGGCGCGTGCGCCATGACCACTGAAGACGATCGCAGTGATCTTGAACCACTTATGGCCCGTGCGATCGCGGTTTATCCATCTGGTTCTATGAAATACCTGTAGTGACCTGACCCCATACTCATTTACAGATATCCGTTCGACCAACGGTTCAGTTGGGGAGGATACTTTGGAGTCTAGACATCGATAGTACGTTCGTACTCCGATTTCTGTTTTACTTTATTTTTAGGCCATCCAATAACCCCGTACCCGTTCGGTATAAATTCGGGGATAAATCCCCGGTTTGCTTATTGATTTGATCACCATCACGAATCACCGGTTTGGTTTTATAGAATTATTTTTAAAACATCCCTTATAGTTCTGTATGTTTTTCGCATCCGTTTTAAAATATGTAAAAATATGTATACCTAGTATCGTATTTCTAACACGTATCATGCAGTGCATTTCTTTATAACTACAGATTAGTTTATAGTGCAGTAGTTATAGATGAAAATTTATTCTCTCGCAGAATGATGTAGGTGCTTAGAATATATGTTATTTGTGTCATAAATCGAATACTATGGAAATGTCTGCATTATTTCGGTTTATTTTAGGGACTAAATTAAATGTTTTTCGAAATTCATCATGCCAGTAACACCTTATGATTAGTGGTGATAAAACATAGATATCATTTTTTCAATAATGATTATTCTATTACAATTTAGTTTAAATTATGTATATCAGGGACGGTAACCGAACTGAAAAAAATCGGTTCTAGAAACGGAACTTTTTAAATTGTTCGAACCGAAACCTTTATATTGATAAATTAGTACCGGGACCTAATCGAAATTCTTAAATTATAAAGGTTCTTTTAGGTTCTAAAATAAAATGGTTTTATTTAGTATAAATAATTGGTTAGTTACTACTACTTTTCTTATAAATAATCAGGGATCCATTCTCATATTATTAAACACTACTATAATACTACTATTATAATGCAACGGGTGAATGATGATATACTCGTATTTTAGTATATACACTAGATAAAAAATTATTATATTTTACTGATAACAAGAACCGGAACTGAACTGGTTCTAGACTAGTAACGATAAATTCAAATATTTCCAATCTCTATTATTTATTATATGTGCCTCATAAAGTTATCATACCTTAGTATATATAATTGTATGTTTTTAGTTATTTTACAGTTCTATAAGTTATTATTTTTATGTGTTAAAGTTATTTTAACCAAATACTTTCATGAATATTTGACACTACGTACTTTGATATGGTTTGATATGTACATAAGCATTTAAAAACGAATAACAATCGTTATTTATTGTATATCATGTATACCGTGTGTTTGATGTTTTTTTGTCCGGATATTTTTGGCCAGATTCAGACTCGCACATGGCCATTGTAACTTCCATTTATACGTTAAAAAAGTGAAATAGATATTTTATTGATGCAGTTTAAAACTTCGTGACACTATGTATCAACCGTGTAATTTATATTAAAATATATACATATAAATTTGTAATTACACCCTCCGATACCAATTTTGGCCGTTTAGGTTCAGTTTACTTAATGTGTTAAACAACGAACCGTATAGTGTGATTTGACTGTTCGTACTACTGGACATAGAAACAGTACGCATTTTCAAAGATACGGTACTTCTTTGTAAAAAAAAAAAAACAACCACCAGATTCGGGCCTATTACCGATAACGAACGCGAAAATCGTGATCGCGAGTCCTGCGCAGCAGACGTTATCGTCTGTGGACTGCGGTTGTTCTCGCGTCCTTCCAAGGACGGTGGCGTCGCAAGCGTCGTCCTTTTCGCTGCGAAGATTTCACTTTCGCCACGTATCATGCGGCAGCGGTGGTCACCGCATAGATTGGATTGGACTCGGACCAAAACCGCGCTGCGATGACCCGTATAAGTACACTAGATGACATATCGCATTCGTGTCGCGTGGCCACGTATCCGTATTACGACACAGCGGCCGCGTCGGCGGTTGGCAAACGCCCGTGCCCTGTGCGCGCGGTGGTGTCGCCCGGCTATGTGTCCAAGAGGGGCGTCGGGGTACCCGAAAACGCGGCCGTGAGGGGGCGATCATCCGGGCCGTCACTATATAACCGCCACCGATGACCGTTATCGATATCACATTCAATCCGTTCGCAAGTCCATCAGGTCGTGCACGCATCAGACAGAGAGACAGCCAGTCGTGTGCAAACAGCAACCGAAAACAAGAAACCCGAAACAACCACAATGGCATTCATCAAGGTGAGTACAACTACGTTTTCATTCATCGCTATCGGTACACGTTTTGTACACATACGCGTATTATAACAGTTCCGTACGCAATCTGACCATTTGTTTTTGTTCCGTCCCGTTCTCATAGTCTACATTGGTCTTCGCCGTCGTCGCCGTCGCTACCATCGGCCGAACCCAAGCTGGTGTCCAGATCGCACCTGCCCCGTACGCCGCCTATCCCGGATTCCTGCCTTACTCTGCCGCCCCCGCCGCATACCCGTACGCAGCGTACCCGTTCAAAGCGCCCTTGTTGCCGGCCGCTTCCAGAGCTGTTGCAGCCCCGTTGCAACAAGTGTATCCGGCCGGAGCCGCTCGTTTCGCCGCCACGGGACCTCTGCCCGCTCTCGCACCTTTCCCGGCCGCCGCACCGATAGTGCGTGCTGCACCCGTGGCCGCCGCTCCTCTGCCAGTGGCAGCAGCCGCTCCCGTGCCAGTGGCACCTGCAGCCCCTTTGCCCGTCGCAGCTAAGTTGGACTACACCGACTCCTACCCGCAGTACCAGTTCGCGTACACGGTCAGAGACTCGTTGACCGGTGACGCTAAAGACCAAGAAGAGGTGCGCGATGGTGACGTAGTCAAGGGCAGGTACAGTCTGATCGAAGCCGACGGCAGCCGTAGGACGGTCAACTATTACGCCGATGACGTCAATGGATTCAACGCGGTAGTCCAAAAGGACGTTCCAGTCGCCCCTGCCGTAGTGGTGTGATCGTCCACTATGGACTACGACGATACAAGATGATTGAAGTACAACTATATACATCCCATACGGCGACGTACACTCGAACGCGTTACGATGGTCCTTGGCGCAATAGCCGATGAAGCCACCGGACAACATTTGTATACGTGTGATTTATTTTTTATTTTTACTTTTTGTGTGTTTTCTTTTTGTAAATAACGTTTTCTTGCTGTTATGTTATTTTCTATTCTCTTCTATTTCATGATAATAAACAAAGTTTCTTATGTATATTTGTCTTTCATTTTTAATATGAGTATAATCTTCTTTTCAACGTTTATAGGCAATTTGGCCCATCGAAGCTCCACACAGTTTTCTCTATTTCTTTCTATTATTTGCCAATTCCTCCGAGTTATCAACTGCAAGTGTTTGAAAAATCTGATTGTGTTCATCTAACCACCTTTTCTTTGACCTTCCCAGTAGTATCATACCTTCTGGTTTTCAATTCAGTATGCCACTCGCTTTCCATACGTGTCCTGGCCAACTCATTTTTCTTCCTTTAAGTATTTTTATATTGTTCTCTTTCCCCAAAAGTTCTTTAATTTCATTTGTAAAGAAGGGATGACAATTCGATTAGTTCTGAAGTATTTAATGATCGAGTTAAGATAACTAAAATTATTATTATTTCAAAAAATAAAAGTATCCAATCCATGCATTTACTTTATTATATAAATATACACTTAATATATCTTCGTATTATAATATGAATTTGTTTATTTTAATACATTTTCCGAGGGTTTATTGTTTTTAATTTATAAAAAAAATAATGCGGTTAAATTTGCATTTTTAACCTCTTTTAAACCTTGAATTTCACAACTGTATACTAAAACACTTGTTAAATTTACATAAACGTTTATAAATAGGTAGTTATTTTTACATTTTATAAAAAACCTTATATTTATTTGATTATTAAACTCAATATATTAATAAATAGGAAATGTATTTAAAAAATAATGAATTAGAATGAAACTACTCTATTTTTATTGACTCTTCAAATACCGTAATGAAAAAACTTATTTCTAAATTGTATTCATTAATTTCAAATAATAAATATTATTTATTATTGCAGTAAACTATTCATTTTTGAACTTTACCAGTTACATATACATTACAAAATACAATCATCTAACATAATATCGGTCTCAGCATGTTTCATTTAATGCAAATAAAAATCTGATGACTAACTAATAAAATGTATACATTTAATGTAATTGTCTATTATAGTATTTTTAATATTTTAACAAGGTTTGTTCTACATTAAGTTAAATGTATTTCCTATTTACTACACCAAAATCATACTTTCTTATCCTAATATTTATATTAATAATTATAGTTATTACAACTACATATTATCTTTCAAATGGGGTACAATTCATCCACCTTGTTATTTTCAATTCAAATTTTTCCCACTTAATGAAGCAAAGAATTTAAAAAAAAAAATTATTTTTTTATTTATTTTTTATAATAATTTATATTATATATATTGTAAAATATTTTGTATTTTACGGTAAGATGCAAACCACATGTGTCTATGACGCGAGCCAGTTCGGCCACTCCTGCCCATACACACTGGCTCTGCAGAGTTGGCGCGTCCTGCGAGCACGTCGTGTTTGACATTGTCATCGCGTATTATCATTATCATCATCATCGCCGTCGTCGTGGTGCTGTGTGACATGCGTGCGGATTGTTACACGTCTTCGCCGGCGAGTCACGAGTTGTGCAACCTCTCTGCCCACCCTTTTTTTGCCTGTATTACACGCGCGTCTAGGTAATAAAACATTACATAATCTCGGTTTCCCGAGACACGTCGGTGCATAATACGCTCTGCCGTTCTCGTGCATTAAACTAATGCACTCGTGTGAGCAAAAAATCCGTCCCGCGGTCAACGGAACCTCGGCTAATTGCGTCCAGCATTGTCTTCCGCTCGGATACCCATCGGAAACTCTGCAATACCTCTCGTCGTCCGTGTGTTTTCTTGTTGAACTGATACCCGTCTGTTCTCCAATAGTACGACACGGTCATGTAGGTGCTAAAATTATTGTCCCCTACACGCCGTGCCAACAGCAAAATTATGTGTCTGCGATTTACTCGACAGTATTATTCACGTGTACGTTTAAGTTTGTACAACAACAAGAATCGCTGCTTGCACCGTAGCAGCACTATATGTATGACTAAAAAACTTTGTTGCGATAATGTTTCCATTAATTTTTTTATTTTTTTTTTTTATCAGTGCGAAATATATATTCAATACATTAGACCACTTGTTCGAATAGTGTGTCTGCTTAACGCACGAATTCTTGAATACATTATTGGGTTTATTGTACCCAATAATGTAACGTCTGATTTTATCTGCTGGGTCAGTATAGGCAACTTGTGCGACAGGCAATCAGTTTTGTACTTTAAAAATAAAAGTTGTTAAAAAAAAAAAATTATCATTATCATTAATACTAATGAATTTTGATAGTTAATGTATAATGACTTTTTTTTACACTGTTTTACACGTCCCATTTATATTTGTGCAACTCCTTGAAATTTAAACGTACTGCATAATACACTTTTTGTTTGCGAGAGGGCCATAGTGAATATATTTTTTATGTTAAATCCAACTACAGCCGATTTACGCTCAAAAATTAAGACAATTATTTTAAGAAATAGAAAAAGAAAAATTGTTATATTTAATTCAAAATTAAAACACCACATGAATCAAAAATTATTTATTATGATTACATATTTTTTTATTTTTCACTCTTATCGACGACTTCGTTTCCTTTATTAATTTACAATCGCTTTACTAATTATTATCGATACAAAACATTTATAGGTACTCTATCATACATGTTAACGGATGCTATTAAATTTAATTCCAACTAAATACTGATTGTTTATCTTATAAATATTTTTACACATTATCTCATTTTTTTTATACGTTAAATACAAATATGTATAAATAAAATATTTCTACAACAGATTTTCAGTAAAGCAAAAATACTGAGTATAGACATTAGTTTCATAATAATGGTTAGGGTAAGATTATAAAGCAATATTATTTAATCATTGTTCAGTAGTTATCGTTATATGTAATCACTAATCAATATTTCATATTAAAATACATTTTGTTACCAATGGTATAAGTGAAATTTAAAACGAGCGTATCGAAATCTTCGAATATTAATAATATGTTTATTTAATTAAGTTTTATAATTATAAGTAATTATTAATATCCTATAGGCCTTCTTTGATGTTGAAGTTATTATTATCGTATAACAAGTGTTGAAATGATAGAGGTTTTCTATTATTCTATTATGATTTTTCTATTTGTTTTTGTCATTTCTTAAACTCGTTTTATTAATTAATTTATAATACATAAGATAGACATCCTCTCAATTCGATTTACTTTTCTTTTGGTATTTGTCAATTTATCAGCTCATATACTAATGTTAAAAATGCTTTTTGTCTCCAGTTACCTCGTGTTGTCTTGATTATAAACATTTTTCATATTAAAATATACTAAATAAGTGATTGTAATATACATCCTATTATTTAAAAATTAAAAATTATCACGAAATTTTAGTTCGTTTGGTTATGAATACGTGGTTAAAAAACTATTTCGACTAATTGATTTAAACTTTTCCTATGATCTGTAATTTTTTATTTTTACTTTTTAGATCTACCACAGAACGTCACTGGATCTTATCACAACACGAAAATTATTCAAGAATGCGGCTCAAACTTTGTCCTAACTATCATTTTGATAACCATCAAAATGCTAGTAATTTACGAGACAATGCTGGTAAATAAAATAATATGTTTTTATAGCCAAAAAAAAAGTATTGAATATCAAAATAATAAATGAGCCAAGGAAAATTTCATGTTTCTAAACTTTTGTTTATGTAGTACATTATCCTAAACTATTTTTAATTTTTTATTTGCATCTACTTTTAAGGTGGTGGTATAAAATGTATGATGGATTGTCCGGAAATTCCTCCATGCATGCCACAAGTAGCAGTCAGAAGTCTAGTAGAAGAAGACGGTGAAATGTTACCAGATGAAGATATTGCTTCGTATAAAATGAATTATCCAGAGTAAATATTTTAATATAATTTTGTTTTTGATTTAATAATAATATAATTTTTGAACTAAACATCAATTAAGTGATTGTTTCAAATCATTATCTACCGATTTTAGTTCATTTTATTTATAATACTTATTTAATTAAAACATGTAGCCGTAACTAACTCTAATTTTAATTAATATTGTATTATATTTTTCTTAAATATTAGATAAAATAATTCAAAAAAAAAATTAACAATGCATTTTTAAATCTTCTAATTTTTTCTCATTTAACACCTGTTAAAATTAAAATACTTTTTTAGTTTTTATTTTTTACAAAATATTGGAAATCAATTAAAAATTTTAATTAAATAAAAATTAATATTATAAAATATTGAATAAAATAATTTAGTATTAATGTTATTACGAGTATATATATTTTTTATTATGAATGCATTACTTAGTTAATATTTCTTAGTCATTAATTTCAAATAAAATAATTTTACTGTTTAAATTCTCAAAAAATTCGATTTTATATTCCATATAAAGATTTACATATTACTTTTTTTATTTCGTTAGTCTTTATAACATTTGCTTCAACGTTTTAGAGAAGACAATGAACGAAAAGAGAAGCTAGTTTTGTCGGTCGACTGTCAATTAGTAACTTTAATGAGTGTGATTAAAGGACGTTTAGTTATATCAACAACACACGCGTATTTTCACGATTTAACGCCGATCACAGAGGATTGTGATAGACATGATTTTAAGGTAAGACACTGTAAAATATTATTAAAAGTGTAAACTGTATTCATTAAACATTTGTGCTATATGACTGGTGTTCTAATTTTGTATACGTATACAAATTTAGAACATAAAAAAAATTAGTTTTAAAATTAAAATTTTTTAAATTATTTTACATGTATTACTATTTTTTTAATTATTTATTCGTCTAACGATAAATTCATCTCTTTTATGATTTATCATAGTGTAACAATCATTTTTTATTGAATTTAATACGTACATATACATTATTATTAAACTATAATCTATAAACTTGTAGGTACAAATTTATCGAATACTTAAAAAGGGTAAATATTCCATACAATGCATTTAGTTAAACACCTAATGAATAATTAAAATACTCGATCACTCAAAGTCTTTTTTATCATATAAACTATAGTTGACACTTTTTTTTTAAAATTTTAAGGCAAAGAAATAAACTCGATTTAAACATGTTTTCCAAGGTAATAAATTGCACGAAAAAATTAACAACGTTTCAATCATAAAAATATTTTCATTATTATTAATGCTTCTTTTATTGTATTATAGTATTCATTAGTAAGATAGTATGATTAATATATTCTGTAGTCTTGAACTTATGAAAGCATGATCCGTACTTATATTCAGTCTGCAAACCACCCTTGTGTCAATACTGACCATGAAAAATTGTTTCCGAATCGCTTCCGAGCCTATTTTTACTCTCGTCCGTCTGATTCTATGTACTGATCAATTAACTATTATTATATTACTGTAATTAACTATAAGATCATAACCTCTGACCTGTAATTGAACGTTTTATATTTTCAAATTTATTAAAATAATAAAAATGGTTTTTTTTTCATATTATTATCGCAAACCTCTCTACTAATAAGAAATGAGAATATTTTAGATTTTTATCTTTTGTTTCTATGAAAGTTATTAATTCTATTATTTTCTTTAGGAAATTAGTGAATATTGTCCCTCACGTAATTTATAAGGGTTTTATTAAAATTAAAAATATATTTTGTGTGGCAAGACATAAAATAAATTATTTAAAAAAATTTTAATTTTAAACAAAGGTATTTATTATTTATTTATTTATTTGTATTTCAACAAAATAATGGGCCCCACTGAGCATGCTAGTAATTTAGAAGCTAAATACCTTATTAATAATAATAATAACTATCAAAATAAACTTATTTGATTGAGTAAACTAATCCTTGAGTAACATTTAATAATATTTTACTAATACATCATCAATGATAATATTTTACTATAGTCTAATGTTCTTTGTTTTATAATACTTATTCTAGATATTCGTATTTTATTATTTTAATATTTTCTTTATAATTTTGTTTTTTTTTTTTTATAAACTATTAATACCTTACTAAATAAAAATATTTAATTTAATTAAACTTGTAAATTATATAAATAAAAAAATTATATAGTACAATTTAATACAGTATAAATGTTGAATACATACAAAATATTTCCAATACCCTAACATTTTATGGCAATATTATTAGAAAATATACAACATACTTACCTACTTTATTGATATTGTAATTTAATTATAATAATTATCCGATGGGTGAATTTAAATGTCATATAATATGCGTCATAAAATAATTACATCAAAATAATAGCTAGTTATAATTGTAGTTAATAATTTATGAACGGTCAATTTTCTTTTAAAATACGCATGAACACATTTATATTAGGTGCTCTTTGTGACAGTGAAATGTCCAATCGGACATCATTTATTCATCGCAGTACTAATTATTGGCAACGCTTTATTGTATGTAATGTCCTTGTCCCGTGAAAGTGATTCGTATCAAATTATACAACCTAAATGGATCATACCCATTATTTGATTCATTTTTTCATTAACTTCCAGCCTACATAATTTATCAAATATTACTAACTGACTCGCAATTACGTATACTCAAATTTATGGACAATACCTATTTCTTGTGTAACTAATTTTAAGGAACACCTTATTATTAAATAATATTGATTGTACTTATTCTGAACTCTTATTTTAAATATACGATATTGATCATCCCTTTTATTGAGTGTTTTTTAAATCAATCATAATAGTTATAAATATCATGATATAATTATTGTATTCAAAATTGTAATTAATTATTAATAGGTAGATGATGATGATTTGAACGCTTCTATAAACTATATACTATATCAAAAACCGAGATAAATGATTTCAAGAAAAAATAAAAATATATATTACTTATACTTACATTATTATGCACTTTTTCAAATTTTAAAATTTTAATTAAATATAATAATTTATACAATTATTGGTTTTTTTGAATTTTCAACTGGCGAAAATTTGATACTTTTTATTATTATTTTAGTCTGAATTATAGATTTATAAAAAATATATCAATTATCTTTTTATATGTTTATATATTTACACATAATCATAATTTTATATTTAAATAATATGAACCTATACATTTATAAAATCGATATTTTCACTATTATGTATACTAAATAATTAATTTTTGTTTTTGTTTATAGTGGTCCTTGACAAAATTAAGAGACGTATATTTGCGACGGTATAACTTACGTAGAAGCGCCTTAGAATTTTTCTTGATGGATCAATCAAATTATTTTCTAAACTTTACAACAAAAGTATTATATTTACTGTATTAGTATCATAAAAATATATAAAATATCGTATGGTTTTAGATTCGTTTGAAAGTTTTGACTGCAATCTACAGCGTACATCCTCCTAATTTTTCATTTAACAGTAGTCGACATCCAAAAGACCTTTTAAGAAAATCTGGCTGTACTCAAAAATGGGTGAATAGAGAAATATCGAATTTTGATTATTTAATGCAAGTAAGTACCACACAGCAACCAAGTTTTTATAATTTATTATATTTAATCGTTCAACTCGTGGTTATTAAGCTTAACACCATAGCAGGCCGCACCTACAACGATCTGTCACAATATCCAGTATTTCCGTGGGTGCTCGCCGATTATAAATCCAAAGAATTAGATTTAAATGATCCAAAAACGTTTAGAGACCTATCTAGGCCCGTGGGAGTAGTGAACCCGAACAACGAAGCTGATGTACAAGCCAAGTACAAAAACTTCGAGGACCCAAATGGAGTTATTGGAAAATTTCATTATGGCACACACTATTCGAATTCAGCGGGTGTACTTCACTATTTGGTTAGGGTGGAACCATTTACTTCCCTACACATCGAACTTCAAAGCGGAAGGTTAATTTAATTATTTTTATTAATACATTCAACATTTTTTTTTTTTTTTAATATTTACCTAGTATTATATTTGTTTAATTTAGTACATGAGATAAAACTATATAGTATAATTTTTTTTTCAGATTTGATGTAGCTGATCGTCAGTTTCATTCAATTGCGCAAACTTGGAAGCTATTAATGGATACGCCAAATGATGTCAAAGAGCTGATACCGGAATTTTTCTATTTCCCAGAATTCTTAAAAAATATGAATAAGTAAGATTTTTGAAACCAAAAACATTGATTATAATTTCTGTGTCAGAAAAAAAATTTAAGGAGTAACGAATCGTGAAAAATAATTTAAATTATACATGTAGAAACATATTTTACATATACATTTTTCTGAAATGAATACCTCAAATTTTTTATATTAGATTTGATTTGGGTCGCTTACAATCGTCTAAAGAAAGAATAGGAGATGTTATACTCCCTCCTTGGGCAGATAGTCCCGAAGATTTCATTTACAAACACCGAAAGGCTTTAGAATCCGAATATGTATCGAGTCATCTCCACGAGTGGATCGATTTAATATTCGGATATAAACAAAAAGGACAAGCTGCCGTGGATGCTATGAACGTTTTTTATTATTGCAGGTAGCTTCAATAATATAATTTATATTTTAAAGACATGTGTTTTTATGCGAAACATGTATTATAGTTACGAAGGAGCTGTTGATTTAGATGCAATTGTAGATCCTATCGAAAGAGAAGCCGTTGAAGGTATGATTAATAATTTTGGTCAAACTCCAAGTCAACTGTTGAAAGAACCTCATCCGCAGAGACTGTCGGTTGATAAAGCCATAGAAAAAATGTTGAAATCCGATCACAAAAAACCAGATCTTACAATGATGTTATCGGAACTGTCTACTTTTTACGTTGAGGTAATATAAATTTTTGACAAATACAAATACAGCACTATGCTAATTTGTAAACACGATTTGAACCATAGATAACAGACGATAGACATCCAATGGTATTTTTGAGTCCTCCCCGATCGGGATCTAAAGGGTTACTACAGACATTTATGACTGACGATACATTGGTAACAGTGTGTGACAATTCTTTGATTGGCCGTCACTCGTGGTTGCCTTATGACAGACATTCCAACAAAGGATTTACGCTCGAAGTAGACCAATCGCATATTTTGCTCAAGTAAATAATTTTTTAAGAAAAAAACGTCGGTCACACAATAATGTACATATATGTGTTTGTCTGTTAGGACCAAAAAAGATCCGAACATGTATCCCATGAGATCTTCATCGTATCACCCGTCTATAGAAATGAATAGTCACCTGTTCGCAGTGTCGAATGACGCCAAATATTTGTTCACAGCTGGCCACTGGGACTATAGCGTGAAAACGTTTAGTTTCTCAAAAAACAAATACGTATCATCCGTCATAAGACACTTTGGTAATGACTGACAATGAACGAACCTAACTTTTTATATTAGAAAAATAAAACATTTTCGCATGTTATCTTTATTTAAATTGTATTTCAGATGTCGTTACTTGCGTTGCTTTGGACTCCTGTGGATGGTACATGATAAGTGGTTCTAGAGATTGTACTTCGGTTGTTTGGGACGTTTCAAATTCTAACAACACGAATCCTAAACCATTCCAAACGCTACTCGGCCACGATTTACCCGTCACCTGTGTAGCAATCGCTACGGAATTGGATATGGCTGTTTCCGGTTCGCAAGATGGCACAGTAAATGTATATAGCATACACCAGGGACTTTTGGTGCATTGTGTGACTCCACTTGGTTGCGTCTCTCCTCCGTCCATTATATCATTCGTCGCCATTTCGTTTCAAGGACATATCGCTTTTTCCGCTAAAGATAAGGTACGTAGTGGTTTGTTTCCTTAAGCAATGAATATATTTGTATAGTTTGAATTGTTTGCAGAAATCTCATTCCGTCCATGTATTCAGCTGTAATGGTGATAATTTAGGTTCTAAGTATGTTGCAGCTCAAGTAACCGGTATTACAACTATAGGTGATTGTTTAGTTGTGGTTGACGATGCAGGAGATTTGACGCTAAGTAGATTATTAGGGTAAGTTAGGAATATTAAATATAAAATTATCTCATACTCAAAATTGAATTACTTTAGATGCGCAAAATTAATTTATGTAAAAAACAGAATTCAATAAAATATTTTTTTAAACTATAATTTTGAGAATTAAACCGTTCAAAGTTCTCATATTTTATTAAAACTATTTACAAAAAACGACTTCATATCTATTATTACTACTAATTGTTTTATCAAGGTTTAAATCTAAAATGTTTCTAGATTTTACTTAGATACGGTATCTTAAGTATTGATAGGTCTAACTATTCGAATGTCGAACCGAACCGAACTCAAAATGAAAGAAAATCGAACCGAACTATTTAAGATTTAGGTACGTTCGAAATTTGAACTTGAAAATATTCTTAATCAAACAATCTAAAATTAATTTTCTATACTTAAAAGTTTATAGTAAGTATCATACGAGTAGTATTAACTATTTTTTTTTTTTTATTATTACAATAAGTTATGATAAAATAAAATTATGTTAAAATTAAGCATATGATTATTTTTGTAAATATTTATAGTATCTATAAGTAATATTATTAAAGATTTTTTTTTCATATAATATGTAATAACATGATCAAACCACAAATCTATTTTTGGAAAAGTGAAAAGAAAAAATTTAAATGTTGTTTGTACTCTATATTTTTATAAATGTTATCAGAAATAATAGTATTTTATGTTAATAAATAATTATTGTAATTTATTATATATTTTTAGGTGTATTAAATTGTGTGCGATGTAAGTACAATTTTCATAATTTCAATATATTAATAAAGGGAAAATAAATTATGAGTTCGAATTTTAGTTCGATAAAAAATGTTAATAGTTCGGTTTGGTTCGGGTTCATAATACTTTGACAATGTTCGGTTCGAGTTCGTTTCGACACCAAAAATCAGGTTCGGCCCATCACTAATCTTAAGTTATCCTGAAAATCTTTAATTTTATGAAACTTATGACATGTTACCTTGTATACGAACTTAAACTAAACTTTTTAAATTCTTTTTATTCTAAAATAAAGTTAATTACAATTAAAGCAACTACAGATCTATTACTGAAACAAACAATAAAGCTTGTGTTAAAATGCATGTACATAATGTAAATTTTTAAATTAGAAAAGTTTATAGCTAATGTTTTCAGTCGTTTTTAAAGTCTGAATTCTTATGAAATTATTTAAATAAATGAAATATTGCTTTACATTTGTCTTATAATAGTTTTGAATAGAAAATATCAACTTTTCATAATTTTTAGACCCTAAGGTGAATATTTTGTTTCGCATAATTTCAATTACTTATGGTTAAACACGTGTTAATTGTATTTCAATTACATACTGTCAAATTGTTAAGTTTAATTTAATAAGTTAATTAATAATAACATTATTATTTTATTTTCTAAAACTTTTTTAAAACTGTAACAGTTATTGATCAAAAATATTTTATAATTATGCTTACATACTTGTACCTATTATTATTAGATATTATTTTTTTAAACGCTATATAAAAAATATTAAATAAATCGTCTATAGTGATTTAATATTATTTAACCATCTCTGCTTATACTCAACAAATCATGCTTACTTGAATCGTCCCATACATGGATGGATGAAATTTAAGTAGAAAAATCAATTTCTTGATGCTTTGTATTTCAAAGATAATTTCAGTGTTTCTATTCATTTATAACGACTTCAATGTTCAATTTTTAACTTACTTATGAAGTATAACTGTAGGAATATGATTATTGAAGCTTTGTCTCTATTTCGTCCACAATATACTTTTAAAAACGTTTTTTCGTTGACTTAAACAATTTCTAGTTGTCCAATTGATTTATTTTTTAGTTGACATTCACTTTAATTAGACAATCGAAACTGATTTATTCATGCCTTGCTTCTTAAAAGTTACACAAATAATAGTAAATGTCTGAAACCCACCTTGTTTGATTATACATAAAAGTTTTTTTTTTAAATAAACCATGAATTTTGTTGCAGTTTACATCCAGTGTACGATGTTCCTTTGCATGTTCCGATACAAACGGTAGTCGCGACGCCAGGCAATACACACTTGTTAGCGCCACTAAGAGACGGAAAAATTGTTGTTGTTGGATTGCCGAATTCAAACAATAACTAAAATGACCATGGATCTTCTTCTAAAATTATCAATTTTATTGTAATGATAATTATTACATTCAAATTTACACTGACAATTATTATTATCATTACACTCGTTGTGTAAAGTGTACTTTTTTAATTAGTTACTATTTAAATTTATTCATTGTTTTATTATTATATAGAGTATATGAATTAGTGTAGCATTGAATTTAATTATTATTATTATTATTATTATTATTATTATTAGAATTAATACATGTAATCAATTTGCCAAATGTCATAGATAACGAAAAATATTTCCTCAATTTTATTGCTCATAATATATTATATGTATAATATGTTCGATAACTTCGTTTGATTTTTTTTAGGTGCTATAAATACCGTCTATCAATTATTAATATTATAATTATATATTTGAATGTCTAATTCTTGGTTATTATACTTGGTTTTTGGGTTTAAGGTACAACATTATATGGAATAATAATAATATTAAATAGTGTTATTTCATCTATTTTGTTGTTGTGATTTTATTCGTACTATTTACTGTAATTCCATCATTATTTTAAATAAAAATATAATTTCTTAGAATTTACAATACGTGTGTCTATTATTATTTAAAAGTTATTGATTCTCTCCTCTCTTCCTTTCTCCTTCTATGCACTTTCTTTTTCACACGAAAATTATAATCACCTAAGTATTTCATTAAATAGGTAAAACACCATTCGTATACTTTTCTGTTGTGATCGATAATACTCGTCATTAAAATGTGAAACTGTGATGTAGGAATGTTGAATGAATATATTCGAAACACATCAAACGGTTAAGTGTGACCCTTCATTCTGACAAAAAAAAGCCCGCGCAACTCCAATTGTGATTACGATTATAAAGCCCCAGAGAGAGACAGAGTGAGTAGGCACGCGGTGTCCTTGATTATCAATTATAACAGAATTTTGTACTGAACCGCTATTTTACGATAGAACTTAACCATTTTCATATCATTTATTTTACCTATACGTCCATCAACGTAAGGATCGCACCAATATAACCTCGTTTATCATAACTAAAAGGCCATAAATAAATACTTGATAATTACTAATTCAACTATTACAATAAATAAATCAATTAAATAATTATTTTTCCCAAATAAATATGCAGTTCATATCTTAAATAACAATAAGCAAATTAACTACAAAATATGTTTACATTAGTACATGTTTAGTTCACCTCTTTATTTTAAGCCTTGATAACTTTAGTGGAATACTTTATTTTACCTAATAACCGCAAGGTAATTTATTTTATGACCGTTTAAATTAACGAGAAAAAAATATGTATAGTCCTTAATTATCTGATTTAAAATTACTTTTTGTTTCTAGATTTCAAAAGTAAAAATTATTGATATCGTGATTTCCAAAAGATTACTTCAATCCGTAATCATGTAGAATAAAACAGAATTATCAAATGTTATCTCAATAGTAATAATCATACAAATTATTATACAGGAGTACATTATTTTTTACGCTTGGAGTGGGGAGATCCTCCGGGATGAATGGATGCATAATATTATTTACTAGTTTACTACTAGTATATATTGTAAATCGTATAAGTGTAAGTCGCAAAATTTGTGTCACGCTCACTTACTTCGATAGTTATACATTTCTCGTAAAACTGTTAAGTAAAAAAACTAAAATGGTAAAATGTCTCAACGTTGTTTTGATCACAAAATAATCTTAGTTTGAATGAAGTTGAATTTAGTGGAAGAATAGATACAAATCCAAGAAATGACTAAAAAGTACGTTAAAATTGTAATATTTATTAAACAAATAACTATATAATTTTAAGTTTTAACAGAGTATTTATGTTATTAAAATTTATAAAAAATTCTTAAATAACTTTATATGTACTAATCCAAATGGTACCATAGACTGATTTAATATTGACATTTTATAGCATTTATATTTAACACTAAATATATTTGAAAATGTATAATAACTATTATTTTTTAAGTTGTAAAAATCACCATAGTCTAGGAGACTTAGAACTGGATACTCGTTTCGATTTATTTATTTTGTTTAAAATCATTGCTAAACAGCTGTTTTTAAAAATTGAGACTCATATTACTAAAGTCTGTTTTAATTTAAAATTTAACGATTTTCAAGAAAAATCATTTTCAAAACGGTATATTCTCATTTTTAGTCATAAATATAGTTTTAATTAATTTTATAAAGTAACAAAAAACCTATAATACATTATCAAAACCTTAAATTGCAATTTATATCAAAATTTATTAACTAGACAACTAAAAATAATAATGAACTGTATACTTATTTCGAAAATAGTACTAATTCAAGAAATTGTAAGAAAACAAATTATGTTATGTAAGGGAGTATATAAAATATATTATAAGTATACAGTATATATATTATAAGAATTCTTTTTTTCTGATTAATTTCATTTTAAAAATATTCATAAGAATAACCAAAGTTAAATTTGTTTAAACCGATTTTCAGATAGTTGATGTATGAAATATGAGAAATTGTCAGTATACCTTTGTAAAAATAAGGGTACAGTTATAGATCTTTATAGATTTCTACTAAAAATAACTGTCAAAATAATATAAATTAATACTTTTATTAGTTTTAGTTGTTTATTTTATTTTATCGTGCAACACCAAATTTATCATTGTTATATCGTTCGATTTGTAGTTTTCTGTAAGTCTTCTTATAAGAAACATCATTACACATTGGTTATTTCACCAATATATTTTATTAAAAATATGATATGATTTTTTTTTTTACTGAGCTAAACTACTGGGCACTGAAATAAGCTAAACACCAAATTCACATTAAATTTCTAAATAATATTTAATAATTCTATAAAACTAACTACATCATATATTATTTGCATTTATAATGTGAGGATCTGACTTAAAATATTTCATCAAAGGATCATTGAGTAAAATACCTTTATTTAAAACAAATTTACATAAATGCCCCTGATTTACGTCACTTATTGCTTTGAATTAAATTATTCCCAAAAATATTTAAAACCAATGATTCAAAACATTCAGCACAAAAATACATTAATTTGCATATAATGCTAAAAAATTATATAATAATTAAAACATCATATTTTTGTGTTGCTTAATTGATTCAATTATGTATATTCGTTGGCTTGTATTAAAGGGTAAGAATTTTAAAGCAACTACTAAAGCTAGTGTAGTATTATAGTACCACAAAACACATGTTTATTTCAGTGTTCTATATATATGATGTATCAACATATATAAGTTTTATAAATGAAAAAATTACTAAAAATAAAACAAGTTTGTCAAAAAACTGCGAAATAATTTATCGTGTATTAATTACTATAAAATCAGAAAAATCACAAATACAGTAAAGTGATAGAAACTAAACTTTATTAAGTGCAATAATATAATTAACCACCATAAACATCCTTAATATTGTTTCAATTTTTTATGCTTAACTATGATCGTTTTTAATTAAATAACCTATCAAAATACTGTAAATATGTATGTACAGTTAAGTATATTTTAAATGCCAAAGTTATAAAAATTTTAATTACACATAATATTATGTTTATGTTTTTCAATTTTGTTGATTAAAAACTTTTTGAGTAATCTTAAATTAAACATAATATCTTATATAACTATATATGTTAGTTAAGTACTTTTAAAACTTAACAATTCTCAGAAAAATACATCGAAAAGGGTTATCGTGAATTTATTCAACATAGTTCAATTAATTTAAATAATAGTAGATAACATACTTCTAGAAAGTAGCAAATCCCTTGAAAAAACATTAAAAATAATTATAATTATTAATTTATTAAATAATTTACATTTACTAACCGAGTAGAAAGAAAAAAATCATAGACAATAAAATGACAGTTTCAGGGAATTTAATTTCTCAGAAAACAACAATCTGATTTCTTATTAATAATTATCATCGTTTGATGATTGTTCTAATAATATACTTCATCAATTAGAAATGTATATGGTTTCAAAACGATTGTTATATATTTTCATAATTATTTAATGTATACCTATAATAAATGTACAATGAAAATAAAAATATATTCATGAACGTAGAACTAATAATTGAAATTGAAATTAATAGTACATTGAAACACAATAATAATTGTTATACAGACATCGATTAAAATTTAGAAGCTAATAATTAAAACGTATGTTTGGAGTGTAGCGTTCTATTAATGAGTCCTGAACTTGAAGTACCTTAGACAAAAAAAAAATAGAAGCATTAAGGACGTGGAAAAGGAGTAAAATGATGGAAATCAGTTGAGCAGAAAAGAAATTGAACATGAAAGTGTAAAATATAATTGATGAACCAAGAAAAATGATTAAAACTATGAAAAAAAATTAAGTTTTTTAATATATTTTAAGACATAACACGTTTATTACAAATATTATAGAAGAGGAAACAATTAGAAAAAGAAGAAAAAGTATGGCCAATGGATAAAAATTTAGAAAATATAAAGGAATTATTATCTCTAGAAAGTTATAAATAAGTGAAAAAACTAGTAGATAGAAGGGACATTAGTTGCAGTGGCAAGATGATGGTTTAAAAAATAAGAAAAAAGAATACATTGAACATTAAACGATTTCCGTGGGAACATTATTTTAATAATACTTGTTTAACTTAGCCTTTATTAAACGCATTATACCTAAATATATATTAACTAAAAAAAAAAAATAAGTAAACTTAAGTAAAATACTTTTTAAAACTATTTCGATTACATATTCCAAATAATTAAAAAAAAGTATTCCAAATATAATTAGAATATTCATATTTTTTAGTAGATATTGATAGCAATTTAAATTTTAACTAATTATTTGTTTATTCAATTTGATATACATGAATTAACAGAATCATCTCATTGATAATATATACATAATATATTATACCTACATTAGTTATAAATTATATCAATTCAAATTGTAAAATTGTTAATTAAATATTAAGTTTTATAAGTACGTACATTTTTTTTAATTTTTTTTTTAATTAGAATCTAACTGTATTTGTATACTTGTATACAAAGTATAACCCAAAGAACTAACTGATGTATATCCTAAATATGTGATAATTTGTGTTTTTATCAATATTACATTTTTTTATTTTAAACATACTATCAAATAAAAACCATATAATATCTAATAAAAAAATTAAAATACTCAAGAATATAAAATAAAAGTTATTATATAGTTAATAAAAATAATATAAATCCTTTCATTCTGTTATACCTTGTATATAGATATATACATAAAAAAAAAAGAAAAATTAATAATAAATTAATATGTGTATAATAACTTATTACACTTTAATATCAATACACATTCAAAATCGAACCTTGCTGTTTTTTATAACGACTAATTAATGTTAAATATGCATTCAACAGCAGCACTATTAAGGATTGTTCATATATTAAAACTCCGTTTTTAACTGTCGGTCTTTCAAACAATGTTTGAAGGACTTTTTGACAAAAAGTTAAAAATGTCTTGTTCTAAGAAGAGATTCCCTTTTTATGTGATTTCAGATCAGTCAAAAAAATTATTTATATCATTGCTCATATCTGATACCTGAGTTTTGGTCTTATTTGATTGTTCAAAAAATTCTGAGCAAGAATCTTTAAAAATTATATTGCTTTATCTTTATAATCATTAGCTTTATTTATTCATTATTCATTCAATTATTGGTCAAGCAGATAGCTTTAAAAAGGTATGATAAATAGTTGCAAACAGTAAAAATGGATCAGTCAAAACATTTTCGAAACGTTTTTCCACGCTAATTGAAAACTTTTAATATTTAAAAATATATCCACGAAAATTATTCATTTTTAGTCAACTTTATTGGTTCCACTGTATAAATAAAGTATAAAATAAAATAATATAATATTACTGTAAAATATTTATAAATATTTGGGTACAAATTCGATTTATGCATAAAAATAATGATATCATTTAAAAAAATTGATTGAACGTTAAAAAAGTATTCGGAATACTGTATTTAGAACACTATTAAAAAGTATTCAAAATACTGTATTTAATACTTTGAAAAAAAGGATTTAATAAGTATTCTGAGTACAGTATTCCAAATATTTTATACGGAATTTTACCAAAGTTTGAAAATAAATAATACAATTATTTTATTATTTTTACTATTAATTAAAATATATAGTTTAAATGATACTATATATGTAACATTTTTGTCTAGTAAAATATCCACACCAAAATATGTTTATTACATTTTGTATAAAGTTACGAATTAAACATATTATTTAGTACCTATTTATAAAAGAATAAGTTTTTCGATTTACTTCTATCATTTTTTTTTCTAAACAAATTGAATAGAAATTAATGATATAACAACACCATTTATTTTTAAGAATAATTACGATTATAGAAATATTCAGGTTCAATATATAGGTCATATTTACATGAACTTCAAAGAATCGTTTTTTAAGTATAAAATCATATATCACATTGTAAATTGTTTTTACATTTCAATAATAAACCTTATCTAATTATTTCTATAAACATAAAATCAAATGTTATTTAAAAAATTTACTTTTTTATGAATCTATCTTTCAATAAACTTAACATTTTAAAAGTATAATTACCTTTTAGTTTGATATTTAAATGGTATTCATTCGTATACTAAACCAATATCTCGATAAATTACTAAAAAGACAATATTTGAAAAGAAACTCAAATATTATTACAACAGGCATGCAAATTATAAACTACTTGTAAATTAAATTTATACTATTTTATACAAATATGACATTTTAAATCGAGTTTAAAATTATATTTTACTACGATTCATTTGTAAAATAACTAAATAATAATAATTTAATGATTTATGTGACAGTTCATTATTTTTAGTTTAAGTATTTTTATGTACAATAATATAATATTAATTTGAACAAAAATTTGAATATGTTTTCCATTCAAATTAATTTATTTCGATATTTAGCATATAGTACGTTATTAATCATGAATAGAATTAGTTTTAATATAATTTTATCATTCAATTATAAATCTGTAAATTGAATCCATATAAAGCTGCAGATATATGTCTAGGTGCTAACTAAAATATGCAACTCCAAATAATAAATTGAGAAATTTTTTTTATATATAATATACAGGGCCTTAGTAATATTAAACACGAACTTTGTTGTTCTTAACTGTAGATGTTTTAAAATATTACTATAACTGTGTAAATAGCCTTATAATTGATCAAACGTTCGCTACTGACTTTGAACAATAATTATCAGAAACAGCATTTTTTATTAAATAATAATAATTTGGAATATGTATGTATAATAATATATATGCAAAAAATAAATAGTAATATTATGTAAGTCGGAATTGGAGAAACGATAATATTTAGCGATTAAAAATAAAGTTTAATATATATTTTTAAGTATTTAAGTTTATTTAAGTTTATTTTCAAAAAAACCTCATTCAAAAATATTGAGTTGCTGTCGAGATCCTCGGGGTCGTGCAGGATTTTTGGGACATGTATAATATTATAACCAGGGCTCATAACTTCTAGCATTTGCATATTTTTTTTAAAAGGTTCTAGAGATA